TAATCATAATTGAATCGGCCAAAAATCATGCTATGAACAAACAGCAAAACAAATAACACTGTCAGGTTCGCCAACCTTCGCCTGGCGAAGCCACGCAGCGAATGCTCGCTGGCCTTCGCCTGGCGAACTTCCCAGCGAATTCCACTGAGAGTAATTCTGGAATTACTCGCTGAGGCTCGCTACACACTCGCCTGGCGAACCTTCGCCAACTAACCTCGCCTGGCGAACTTGCCAGCGAATACAGGGTGTTTGCTTCTGACTTGCTTCGCTACAGCTCGCTGGACTTCGCCTGGCGAAGCTTCGCTGCCATTCGCCTGGCGAGCCTGCGAAGACAGAACTTCCATGGCTGTCTCAAGAGCCCAAACTCCACAAAATCAACCGATTAAATCCAAACCAGTCTCAGTGGCACAACCCTACCATCACCCGACTAAACTACATCGTTTAATCCGAGTTCTAACCGATTAAAACCTCATTCTACTCACAAAACCAACTTCTAACCTAAGTGGAAAAAGAGTAGAAACTCTACAAAATCCAAACACATACACATACAATCATACACATTAAAGAGATGATGGATTTTCACACCCTTACCGATCGATTGCAAGCTTTGGTGATGATCCCTTGATGATTCTAGGTTTTCCTCTCCACTTTCTCTTCTCTTTCTCTTCTCCTCTTTTCTTTCTCTTGTTTTTCTTCTTATGTTACTATCTTTCTTTCTTTTCCTCTCTTATTCTATTTCTATCTCTATTTCTTTCCTCTCAAATTCTTTCCAACACTTACCAATCAATTCTCACACTAAATTGCTAAATGTCTAAAATACCCTTTTTACTCTAATTCCCCGAAAACTCTCCGAATCGGTAAAAATAGATAAAATAAGCAAACACCACATAATAATATATAATTTCTCAATTTAAAACAAACATCACTTAAATAAATTAAAAGACTCAACAATTAATGGGAATTCAGAATCGGGGCGTTACAATATTTGATAACGAATTTGTTGCTGTTGTTGCAAATTTCCAGGCGGATTTGTTGTTGTTTGTTACTGAGGTGAATTTGTTTGTTTGTTTTTGGAATTTGTTGCCTTTTGGGATGATGAGTTGGTTGTTACGAATTTCATGATGGAAACTTGGAAGGTTGTTGTTGATCTGCGTTTTCCCAAAATTTGCTTGTTTGATCCGTTGTGGCTCGGAATCTTTTGGGAAAGTTGTTTAGGACTTGTTTGGCAAAAATCATTTTTTCAGGAAAAATATTTTTTTTCTTCCAAAAATCACTTTTCTCTCTCTTGGACCATAATGAACAAATGTTGCCAGATTTGTGCCGAGGCCGGAAATAAAAGTCGGGAGCTGGCGGCGGAATATTCCGTTACCCTCCCGACGTACCCAATGATGATAATTAACTGAGGGTATCAGATCACAAATAAAACTCATTTCCGATTAATTCTAACACTTAATGATTGTTTTCATCTGTTGTCAGTATTTTTGCAGGTTTGAGAAAGTCGAAAGTCGAAGAATCGGACGCGGAAAAGAGTCTTAGAAAAATTAGGCATTTTAGGATTTAGGAATTAATTTTGTAATTGTAATTATCCTTGTAATAAAAAAATAGAATTTAAATAAATAAATTCAATTTTCTTAATATCCTGAATTTATTTTTCCGATCAAACTTCTCCAAATAATTCATCCGAGTAAAATCAACCGAATAACTTCATTTAATTAAGCTTATCCGACTAAATTCAACTGATTAAATTCATCCAGATGAACCTAGACGTTTCAACTTCCGACTTCGACAGTTAAATATCTCGCGCAACTTAGCCTTAAATTTCATCCGACGTGATTCCTGAGTTCAAACAAAATCCTTTGTAATTTGAATGGTACTGGATAATAAAACCGGTGAATATGGTCCCTGAATCAACCCGGCTGATAATCTTAGCCAAACCGACCGATATTCTATCACGAATTCAGTTCATACAACAACTCTATTGCTCCTCTAATATTTGACTAATAACCAGTAGCAACAAACTGTAAATTAATAACCTTTTTGCCCTTCCTGAATTAAAGCGCGCCTAGTGTTATTTTCCTGCAAAAACCAACAGACTGAGCAAACCGGTTAGCGGTTAGATAACATGCACTGCAGAATGAGATGAAATGCAAAATGAACCGACTAATCTAAGGGTAAAATTTGGAGTATTACACAGTTACATTAAATACATCCACAGGGACACATTTCTTATAATACTTGCTATTTGACTAACATATTAACAAACATATTAACAAACATAAAATGATAAATAATATACTCCCTCTGGTTTCCTATATAAAGAAAAAGAAAACTTAAATTATTAAATTTAATGTCATTGTTTCAAATTTATCTCTAATTTAATGGATTCATACATCAGATTTGTTCCTAAGAAAAAGGTAAAATTGGGAAAAGGGTGATATAAATTTAAATAAACTTAGGACCAAAAGTCACAAATTGTTAGAAACCTTCATTGTTTACTATATGCTAGAATGACTGATAATTTTGTTCATTTCGTTTGATTCATACTTTATCTTTTGAATATTGTGATTTTGTGGAAGCATTAGAAATGATCAAAGCATTTGTTTATATTGAGCACAATCATATCTAAAAGTAACTTACCGTGAGTAGCGAGAATTTGTTAACCTCTTTGAGTCTAAACAATTTAGATATCATTTTAGTGATGAACTTGATTTTTGTACATAATTTAAAAGTTTAGTTCATCATTGAATTTTGTGAGATTTTAAAATTTTTTCTTGAACCTTTGAACATTGTTTTAAGTTGATTTCCTTATCATAAAAAGCAAGGAACATTCACTTGAGGTTTGGTTGAATTCAAGTTGGGGAGAATGAAAAAGAAGAATGGTAGGTTGCTAAGACTTTTGAAAAATTTCAAGCAAACATGAAAAGAAAAAAATGTGAATATGAATGTGAAAAACAAAATAAAAAGAATGCTTGTTTGAAAAAGAAAAATAGAGAATGAAATAAATGTGCAAAAGGAAGCTAGGAAGGGTGAACAATTGAGAAAATTTCACTTAATGTTGTCCACCATGGATATTTTGTAGATAATCAGGAGCAAAATTGTTGCTGTGTGTGGAAGGTGGCTTGTTGGAGCTATTCTTCGTTTTATTTATCGCTTTATCGCAATCTAGTGGAGCTATTCTTCGTTTTATTTATCGCTTTATCGCAATCTAGTGGTTTTAGTGCTTTGATATTGTAATATTGAGAATGAGACATTTGTTATATTTTGATTCAATGTATAGTATGGTGACTTAGTGTTTAATACTATATTTATGAATTTTAAAATGAATTTTCATATAAGTTTTGAGGTTTAGGATGTTACTCTCTCTCTCTCTCTCATGAAATATCTAGAGTAATTTGTAGATGTATGTAGATCTTTTTTGAGCAACACCTTTGTGAGAAATGCAACATATATTCACCCAAAACCTTAAGGTAATATGTGAGTGAGTTCTGCCACTTATATATGCTTAAGTTTCCATATTTCCAACCAATGTGGGACTATTACCCACACTACTCACACTTGCTACATTCTCAACACTTCCCCTCAAGTGTGAGTCCACAATGCTCCTCCTCAAGTGAAAGCTCTTCTTACTTCCACAAACTCTTGTACCGCACAACATTTCTTACTCACCACCTTTGTGGCGCCGTTGACTTTTTATACAAGTAAGCCGATCCCTTTCTCACCACCCTTGTGGCACCGTTGACTTTCAATACAAGTAAACCGACCCCTTTCTCGAACCAAAGACTCATGATATCATGTGTTGGAGTTATTCACTATGAAGCATTGAACATTGTAAGACTTATTTTTTGAGCAACACCTTTGTGAGAGACACACTATATATTCACCCAAAACCTTAAGGTGATAGGTGAGTGAGTTCTCTCACTTATAAATACTTAAGTCTGCATATTTCCAATCAATGTGTGACTATTACTCACATTACTCATACTTGCTACATTCTTAAAAAAAACTCTTTCGAATTCTATATATAAGGAGATATTATCATTTATAAACCAAACTAGTAAAAGATAATAATAAAACAAGTAGAAATAAATAAACAAACTTGTAAAACATCATCTCAATAAAAATGATCTTTCTCTCAAATAACCTTTCCTTCAAATTTCCAACAAAACCTCAATATTTTTCCTTTTCCAACCATATATCATCATCACTTATAAATCATCCTTTTCCAAACACAACTTATAAATTTAGTTATCAAGAGAACTCTAACAACTCACACTTTAAACAAAATCATAACTTATAAATCTAGTTATCAAAAAACTCTAATGTCTCACATCTAGAAATGAATCATGTACTTGAAATCGTGAATACATTTTCATTGATTTTTTATAATTATGTTTCAAAACTTTGTACCCTTCATCATCTTTATGTTACGCATCTGTAAAATATATTATAAATATCTGGTAATTTTTTAAAAAAGTTACACTGATGTTTCTAGGCTAATACAGGCAAAGTATCACTACCTATGTTTTTCATCTTAGCTTCCTAATAACTTCCACTAATTTATTTATTTTTAATTTTTTATTATACGCAATTGATAGCTGAAAAATCAAGTTCTATGGTGGTGGTTTGTCATTCACATACTAAAATCAAAACACGTATCGGTAGCTAGTTTGTCAACAAAGGATAAACATTGATTTGGCCATCCAATCTAATTTGTGACATAATTAGTAGCTATAATAATTTTGTTATTCGAGTAAAAATTAGTAGCTATAATAATTTTGTTATTCGAGTAAAAATTATGTTTTTTCTATATATACAGAAAAAGAAAAAGAGTAGCACAAAAGAAAGCAAAAGCTGCTTCTATTCTCATTTCATTCCCATTCCCTCACTATATAATATTTTTCTCTTTTCATCACAACACTTCTCTTCTTCTTACTTTCCCTCACTCTCTCTCTTCCTTTACCAAAGCAAAACAAAACCATAATATAACACAACATTCTCCAATGGCATCATCATCACCAACCTCAAAGCCAGTTTCTCTTGTATTATCATTGTTAACCATTGTTATCATGCTAACCATGAATGTGAAGGGTCAAGGAGTGAGTACTAGTGGTAGTAGTACAAGCTGGTGTGTGGTGAGAAGTGATGCAAGCTACAATGTGTTACAAACAGCTTTGGATTATGCATGTGGAGCAGGTGCTGATTGTCTTCCTCTTCAACCAGATGGACTGTGTTTTCTTCCCAACACCATTCAAGCTCATGCTTCTTATGCTTTCAATAGTTACTATCAGAAAAGAGCTAGAGCTCCTGGCTCTTGTGACTTCTCTGGAACCGCCACCATTGCTCAAACAGATCCAAGTATATTATTATTAACCCTACATTATGCATTTTTAATATTCTATATTATTTGATCTCATTTTTGTGATTCTGTGTTCTTTTGTGTAGGTTATGGATCTTGTGTGTACCCTTCTTCTACAAGGTATGTTATTTAATTAAATTAAATTACTATAAATAGTTTGATATTAAAGTGAAACTAGGTTCCTTGATAGTGAAGTAAAAAATGGATTTCATTCTTGAATGAATTTTTTATGTATTTTGTTTTCGCTTTCACTTTGGTGACTTTTCTTCTGTCTGATTTTAATGGCTTACCTAATACGATTAAGGTGACATGGAATACTGAATTGGGTTATGTTTCACTGTTTAGTGTGTTATGGGATGAGATGAGAGTGACTTGTCTATAGGTTTGATGTCATTCATTTTCCACTCTAATTAATTACATTAAAATAGTAAATAATAAATTTAATGTGTTTAATTTATACTAGTTCTTTCATCTTTAAGTTTACAAAATTGTATGGTATTGTCATGGCCTCTTTCGTTCCTTTAGTTTGTCTAATTGTTGTTGAAAATTTTAAAATCTTGGGTTGCACAATTTGTCTGACACACTGTGGCTAATGCCTGTGACCTTTTGCAATTTAGACCGTTGGACGAGTTTTCCTATGTCACTCCATCCAACGGCTCATGTTCAACTTGATCGTACGATAGTATACTTTTACAGATCTAAAGTGACTGATCCGTGAGAAACTGTCATTGATCTGGAAAACATCATATCAACCTTTTCTTCACTTGTTCTCTCTAGATTCTCCTGCCCAAAATTGACTATTACTTTTTCTATTTTATCAGTAAAGAAATTTATTTTTTAAATTAATTGAATATTAATATATGTGAATTATACGTGGATGAGATACATTTTTGTTTCACATCTATATGTTGTTAATATTATAACTGAAATCTAACGGTTAACTATTTGATTTATTATAATGTTTTTAGTGGTGCTGGAGGATCAAACACACCAACCACACCAAGTTCAATGACAAACCCAAACAACATCTCATTACCTACAACCCCACCAAACTTTGGTGGTTTATCTCCAGAAATGAACGCTCCATTCAATGACAATTCTAAAGCACCACCAAAGCAACAACTCACTAGCTTTTTACTTTTCTTTTCCTCACTTCTCATTCTCTCCATTATCTCTTAGCATGTGTATCATCATCTTGAGAAGCCTAGCTTATTACAATTTTGTCACAAGTGAAAGGATGGATGGATATGGCTATCTAGAGAAATGCACAGCTAGGGTTGTAGCAAAGGCCTTTGATGATCATGATTAGATTCTTGTTTTATAGGGTTCATATTTATTTAATTCAATAGCTCAATTTATGTGTTCCCTTTGCAAACAACTTATAAATGATTTTATTTTATTTAGTTTCTTCTATGTCATTTTTTTAATTGGTGACAATTATACATGGGGAAGCATTTGTTTGAGATAGTTTTCGTCAATTTTGTATGTCTTAAAATTTGAAACATTAAGATGGCTACTCATTCGAGGAGCAGAAACGTCAATCAAAATAACAATATAAATAACGATGACAATTTGAATGAAGATGGACAAAAGTTGATATGCCTAGGCAATATCAACTTATTAATATTAGTATGCCTTAGTGAAATACCATCCAATCCTGCAAGAGTTCCTTAAAAAATTCCATCTACTCTTAAGAATTATGAATTTGGACCAAACTATCCTATACTAAATTTTTTCATCTTTTTCTCATTTCATTTTAGAGAAAGTGAGAACACTTAAAAATCGGAAATCACATATCAAAGATATCCGTTTCAATAATGTACTGAAGAACACATGTCACAATTATCCGGTTCTTTTATTTTTTACACCGGAAAGCACACAAGTTAGTTATCCGATTTGATTCAGAAAAATGTTACACATCGGATAACTTGACATGTCGTAATCCGGTTCACATTTATTCTAATCGGATAACTCTTAACCATGTTATCCAGTTCTTAATGTTGTATATCGAAAAACTAGCACCAAGGTTATCCGATTTTTAATTTCATCCGAAGAAGTTAGTTCAACGTTATTTGATTCTTGTTTTTAACTTTTTTGTTGTTGTTTTTAGTGGCGCGCATTAGAGGTCGGGACAGGAACATTTATCGACGAACGGGTGAAGGACGACAACCACGACATGCGATGGATGAAGAAGAACATCAGATATTCTCACTTAAGACTCGTCCACAACACCCACAGTTCTCCGGAGGGCCGTTTGACATGTCTCTTTTGGTGAGGTATCAGGATCATGTTACTCACCATTTGTGGTTCGGTGAAGTAAGTTAATCTTTATCGTTTTATGTTGAATCATTTTTAATTTTAATTATTTATATTTTATATCGTATGCTATAAATTATTTTTCGGAGAGAAATCTAAAGAAAGAATTAAAGATTGTTGCACATGTTTGCAAATTGATAGGATGAGTTCCACACAGTCTCCCACCGCTGATAGAGAGATGATTGTGTAATTCTGGTCTATCCTCTCTATAGAGAATCAATTTTGTCGAGGATATATCAAAATTGAGTATCAACATTTGTAGAGAGATGCCATCCATAAACATCGTCCTTTCATATGCCATTTGACGAGATAACCATTACATTGGCCGGTGTTTCTTGTCTTCTTCATTTACCGTGTAGGACAGAGTTCTGTAATCCTACACAAGGTTTCACTTATGATGATGTTATTACTCTTGCTATTGATCTGTTGGGTGTTTCGTTGGTGGAGGCAGCTGAAGAGGTTCAAAATTGTAAGAGGTGGTGCTTATTATAGGTAATAAATGGTTTTTATATGGCTTTTATTAGTTGTTTTTCATTCATATTTTACTGTTTTCATTTGCTTTCCTTTCAATTTACCATGTTTTACGCCTTGGTATTGTGTTTCATTTGTTTTTAGGTTATAATATGCATTTCAAGCGAAAAAGGGACGAAAAAATGGACAAAACACGAAAAAGAGCGAATAGTCGAAAAGTCTCCATACAAAAACTAGGGGCTTGTTATGGGTACCCGTAATGGATATTACGGGCCGTAACAAGCATTACCCTCTAACCCTATTTTTGAGGCGCCCATTAATATACAAATACCAGAGGCCTGTTACGGGCACCCGTAATGACTATTATGACCCGTAACAAGAAGGAGAGCTTTCTCTCGATTTGTTTTCTTTTCTTGCCTGATTCCTTTCATTTTAAGCCTTTGATTACTTGGATCTGATCTTCATTTTGTGTAGTTGGCATTGAACATTAAGAGATTTTTACCATATTTAAAATTTTATATAAAAATCCATAGGTAGTCTTGAGTTTTTATCCAGATTTTTATTTTAGTTTTAGTTTTACGCTTCTTTTCATCGCATTATGTAAAAGTCTCCATTGGAGCAGCTGGATCAAATTATCAACTAAAGTATTTCTTTTCTGTTATTCAGGTTCTTATATATCAATTTATTTATCAGTTTAATAATTATGTCTTTATTTTCCATAATCGTTACGTTTGGATCATTCCTCACAATGTGTGAGTAGTCAATTAGGGACTAAGGTTTATGAATCCTGTCATATGATTATTCACATGATTTAAGTTGGTTACAGGAATTCCACCCATTTTATTTTAAGAGTCTGAGTTTTATTCAAAACTTGCTACGGAAGTAGGATTGCTATTTTTAGATATTTGACTTATGCTAAAAGGATAAAGGCAATGCCAGAAAGCCGATTTTTAAACAGTCAAGTCCGAACTCACGAAAATGATCGGATGAAATTAAGAAGGTTTCCATTTTTAATAGTTGTGCAAAGATAAAGACCACTAACGAATGTTTCTGCACGAGGGAAAGACGACAAGTGCCCCGTTCGTTATAGGTAGGGAAATAGGCTGACGAAAGTAGGTATTGCCATATTAATCTATTTTTCTAAAAACTGATTCAAAATTCCTGTAATAGAATTGCTTAGGTCATGTGGAGAAGTCTAAGCTAAGAGTCATTGTTACGTGCAAATTTTGACTTAAAATGAACCATCTTTCTTGACACTTTTTAACTCAATTCTTATATTTTTATAGATTTAATTCTTGTTCTTGTGTGATTTTTCAATTACATTGAAAATACCTTTAGATTCTTTGATGTGTGTGTTATTATGCAGAAATTAGGCATAAAACATCAATGAGTAAGACACAAAACACTGGACAAGGAAGCCAAAGAAGTGTGAAGATTCTGCAATGTTCGCTGGGCGAACAGTAGCGAGCAGCCAGCAGCCAGCGAATGTTCATTGGGCGAAGTATCAGGGAGGTCCCAACGAGGATGAAACCTTGGAAGTTAGTAGCTAAAAGACCCAAAGTTCGATGTGTGAACTTGTAGCGATGTAGTTCGTAGTACGAAGAATCGCTCGCACGACGAACTCAAATATTTTCCAAGGACAATTTAACTGTTCCTGAGACATTTCAAGTGCCAAAAAGGGGACTTCATTAGGCGAATAGGTAGTTCGCAGTGCGAACATGGTATATTTTGTAAATACTATATAAGTACTTTTCTTGCTTTTTAGAAAGATATGTTATATTTTTGGGATCATAATTTTATCTCTCTTTATTCCAGATATATTCTAGAGAGAGAAACATAAATCTTATGAGGGAGAAGGTAAAATCTTCAATCTCTTGTTGGGTTTGGATGTAATCTTTTGATACATTACGTATTTCATCTAATGTATGTTTGTGAACTAGTTTTGATTCAATATTGTTGATTGTCTTTGATTGCTTATTTGTGGGTCTTGACAAAACTCGTTTTAAATCTTGGGTCTTAGATTTTCATCTATCAATGGGAAAACTTTTGACATGGTTTTGTAAGTTGATATTCATTTGCATCATATTATGTTGATTATTAGCATGAGTAGGATCAACACGGTAGAGACCACAATAACGTTCTTGACGCAGGCGGTATTGTGAGGGTGCATGATAATATAGATGAGAAACTTGTTCATATACATTTGAAAAATTAGGTGAATGCATGTAAAAAGGGTTAATCATATGTACGTATTCGGATCATGGCGTTATATATGAATAAAATCATTAATTTGATATGGATGTTATAGTAATATATGTTGGGTCTAAAATCTAGACATAGGTTTAAGTTGAAAATTCACGTGAGTATCAGTTCTTAATGCTCCGTGTTTGTATTGTTGCGTGATATATCACCGATGAGACAATACGGTTAGCCTCTCGACTTTGCATTAGACATAACCTCTATTGTAGGTGATACGTGATGATATTAGACAAACATTTGAGTTGTGTATAACATGATTAGAAGAATGCACATATTATCAATTGATAAGATCCAATCCCAACAAGACTCTACTTATATTTCAGTCTTTACGTTATATTTTCAGTCTTTATCTTTTCTGCCTTTATTTTTGGTGCCTAAAATATTTCAACCAAAGTTTTGCACCACAAGCTTAGAAATGTAGAGATCATTGAAAAATAGTTCTTTTCCTCACACCGATCCCTGTGGAGACGATATAAACCCCAGAGGGAATTCCTTCACAACTAAATTTTTTCTTCTTGCCGCTTTACTACAATTCGAAGAAAATGACGTCGTTGTTGGGGATTGGTGTTTAGATATTGAAGTGCATTGCAATAGTTTTTATGTTTTTGAGCTTTATACAAATGTCTATATTATTTATATATTCTTATTTTCTTTTACGTTTTCTTAAGTGTTGTTTAGGGATGAATGATGAAATCTCCTTCTAGATTGGTTTCTATTTGTATCAAAGTATCCAATAAAGATTCTCCAGAGTTTGGATGGTGATGGTAGGATGTTGAGTATGTGAATGCAAGAAAGGTAAATTGTACCGCTTTATAGAATGTTAGAATGATTTATGAATTTTGTGCTTTGTGCAAATGTGTATTCTTGTTTCTTGTTGCAACTTATTTGAATGCTTGTTTCACTTAGGATCAAAAGCCACAAATTTTGAGAAACCTCAATTGTTTACTATATGCTAGGATGACTGATAACTTTGTTTAATTCGTTTGATTCATACTTTATCTTTTGATTATTATGATTTTGTGGAAGCATTAGAAATGATCAATGCATTTGTTTATATTGAGCACAACCATATCCAAAAGTAACTTACCCGTGAGTAGTGAGAATTTGTTAACCCCTTTGTGCGTAAACAATTT